AGCCGCCTATGTACACAGCACCCGGCCTCAGTACTCCTCTCAAAAGCGCTCAGTCCTGATGAAACAGTAGGCGGACCCTTGGGAGGAGTTATGCAAATGTCAATGGTGGGTGAGGATGATGTAAGGAGCAGTGGGCGTTCCTAGGCAGACTGTATATGATGTTGAACCTCCGTGATTGACAGTACGGAAGTCCAATGTGTGAAAGGGGCGGGGCCAGAGACAATTAGGCTGGGGAGGAAGGAGGTAGATGACACTGGATGTCCTCCAGCCAGCAAATGATCACCCCCTCCCCCATACAGAGGGCTCTCCATCCACTGAGATCTACAGAGTAAGCAGTGTGGGGTCCCCAAATATTGGGGTGTCAGTGCTGTACAGTCAGGGGAAGCTGATATAAGGACAGAGCCCTGTACTCATAGCTCCGCCCATATCGGACCAACACACATCCTCCCCTCTGCCAAACACAGGGTCTAGACTCCGCCCCCTCACCACAGGGCACCCCCGATAGTCTGTGACACAAATATTGGGGTCAGTGCTGTACAGTGAGGGGACCCCGATGTCTGTGTGAATGAGAGAAGTGGGGGTTCGGTCAGACGGCTGTACATAGCTCCGCCCCTTCCCCCCAGCTGTGTTGTTGTTATTATTATGGTCCCGCCCATCACCGGGCACCGACACCCGCACGTCTCCCCCCCGGTACCCCTCCCCCACACACAGACACTCACCCCGGGCTCTCTGTCGGTGTCTATCCTCCCGTACAGACTCTCACCGCCGCCTCGTGCTGGGAATTCCCCTCTCCCAGCATCCCCCGCGCCTCATACACACCGCAACCCGCCCACTTCCGTCCTGTGGAACGCACGCCACTTCCGGGTCATGTGACACCAGGCTTCCTACTCCAGCCAATCACCACTATACCCGGCTACTCATAAAGCCCCGCCCCAGACCTGCGCAAACTCCGCCTTCTTCATTCACCGCACGGCCGAGAACCCGCCCCCCTCACTGACACCTGCCGCACTGACACATCGCCGATGTCACACGGTACGGACACCGATCGTTATCACTGACACTGTGTGAGGACCCCTCCCTGACTCTCACTGTTGTTTCAGGTCTCATCATCCGGCAGTGCGATTGAAGTGTGAGGGGGATCATGTGACACAAGGTGAGATGGGGCTGTGTGTTGTCCTGGCTTCTCATAGGCTAACACATCTTAATTCTTGTTTCCTCGGGGGCGGGGCCTCTGGGTTTTCCCAGCTAATTGTCCTGCCAACGGTAGGGTAGCTGCTGATGGCTCAAAAAATGGTGCCTTGGAGGGGCGGGGTTTGTGTTATACCGCTCTTAGAAGATGGTTCCCCAGGGGGCGGGGTTAGTATTATGCTG